AGGGAGGGTGCTGGAGCCAGGCTCTGGCTGGAGCTTTTGAAGCTACAACGAGCGTTAAAGGCAGAGAGTGAAATTCAGTGAATACACGTAGTTTACAGAGATGCTGTATGAGGAACCAATGTGAGTTGCGTTTATCTTTACCCATGGATGCACAATGGGAACGGATCCATATCGTCTTACTGCCATCCCACGGAGCTGTAATAATGGATATATTGCACATGTTTGCTGTAATTCATTGTCATACTACATGGGCTGTATGATTGAATCTTGTACCGTAAATGTTGTATTAAATGGAGTTAATATTACCGATATCACTAGATCATTACTAGCTAGCCGCTAGCTGCTAACTGCCGCCTCGTTCATATCAAATCCATGGCGGTAGTGTGTATTTGTCATTTAATACAGGCAACAACCGGAAGACAGAGAAGAAGAATAGACTGCGTGATATAAAATAATGGGCATACCTCCACCCCTCGATAGTTATCGCTGACTCAGCCATGTTTATGCAGCACTGCACGTGGAGATGTGGACGCGCAAGTCGCGCAGATTACGTACATAAACCTACAAAGTACTGATATAGTAAATTACAAAATAAATGATTATTTTTGTGTAGTTGTATATTGAGAAAAATAATGTATGGTTGTCACAAAATCCCACGGCACACCCGGACTTGCCTCACGCACACCAGTGTGCCGCGGCACACCGTTTGGTAACGGTGGTAACTCAGATGCTTACATGGACTTGTATGTTTTTTCCTTCATATCTAACAGAAATAAGAGAGAAAGAGATGGGAAAGTGAGTAAAGAGGGATGGGAAGGAGGAGAAATATTTGCGAGTTGCATACTGACTCTGAGTTTTCTCGATTAATAGCTTATATAGACAATACCATGCTTAGATAGACTCCTAAGTTATTATTTCATATGTGACAATATGTAAGAAAAGGGAGGAAGAGTCAAATTATATTGAGAAATTGAGCAATTGATTTCATATTGGAACATTCATTTCTCAAACCTATGTTTTATGGAAGAGGAAATGTACTTCTGATAAACTAATCCTTGATCAAACGGTAAATGGTGAATTAATATAACATTTATAATCATTGAGAAAGGGTTATTCCACAGGGACTAGCTCACATTTAACTTAAAATAAAATGTATCTGCTTTGGACTGATGAGTATATGATTCTTGCATGTTAAATGACTAACACAAACCTTACATTTATAATGTGCATGTCTCAGGAAGGCTCCCAAATCATTCTGAGGGGGCCTATCCTATTTTTGTAATTGAATGATAATGTGCTAATCCATTACCTTGAGTTGTCTGCACTCAGGAAAACATCCCTATCAAGTGTTAACCCAATAACTAGGAGAGCTCTGAAGGCCAAGGGTCAGAGAGAGAGGATCACACTCTGCGGCTGCAGAGAGCAACTTATCCACGGGCAAGGAGGTCGTTCGAGATGAGAGGATTCTAATCTTCAACTTTCTGATGAGATGGGATGCTTCTTCATTTTCGCTCGCAGGACGAGCGATGGTTTCAGAGGTCGTCATACAAGGTTTCCATGTTTCATTGGAGGAGCAGATGTTTTCATAACCTCTCCCATCACGGGGGGGGGGCATCTGGATGTGCCACTTGGAATAGGCAGGTGCACTGCTCTCAAGCAGATAGCAGAAGGAATGCAGGCAGATGAGCCTCTGTTTCACTGGGAGATCATACAGTGCTCACTGAATTGAGCCACAAAAGCAGAGCAATTGGGGGGGATTGAGATATGGCGCTCTGATGAAGAAGAGTTTTGAGCCAATCAGCACCTCAGTGCTAATCTACAGATAATTGAGTTATGGCGCTCTGATGAAGAAGAGTTTTGAGCCAATCAGCACCTCAGTGCTAATCTACAGTATCAGGATGCCTTTACACACCAGACATTCTGTGTCATAAAAGAGAGGAGGAAAACATGTCTTCTGGCTCTCGTACAAAGATAACATTTGAATTGAATGACCAGATGATTACAGATGTACAATTAATGATTGTTTTTGTATTCCCAATGAACAGATATGTGTTAAATAGTGGTGATAAATATATTTTATCAGATTACACTTTCACACTAAACTAATTAATTAATTGATATTTTCAGATTTATAAGGTATTGGACAATAAGATATTTCTAATATTATAACAGACAATGTTACTATCCTTAATCATTACCAGGTAAGAACAGATGTTTTGATATTGATTACAGTTGATGCTCTGAATAAAGAACAGATGTTTTGATATTGATTACAGTTGATGCTCTGAATAAAGAACAGATGTTTTGATTTTTACCCTTTTCAGGTCGTTATACAATAAAATGTTTGATTCTTCAGATTGTTAAACATTTTGAGAATTGTTTAGTTTTCCCTTCAGATTTTGAGATGACATAATGATTGATAGTTGAAGTCTGATTTATACCTCAATTGGATTTATTATAAATCCTAATTGTGTTTTAATAAGTAATTGCCTTAAAGTAAATCTTTAAGATGTAAGCTGATTTAGAATCTGTGTTTGATGAATGAGATTAACTGAGTGATAAATGATAAAAGATCTTATTTTTTAAACATATATTTTGCTATAATATTTTGTATCCCATGTGTTTATTATTGTACCTTTTGACAAAAATGCCAAGCACTGAAGAGAGATGATTTTTATTATGATTGACTGTGTTCAATCATGGTGATTGAAGTGTTTTTCAATCTTGTTCTATTTTTAATGTAATGAATGTATCTGAGCCCACCCAACTCTGAGGACGCCTATTGATTTTAAGTATTGACTGAAATATTCTTAGACTAATGTTAATTGGTTATCAATAGATTGATAAAAAGAGTGAATCTGTAAGAGAATATTTTCATCTGATCTGTTTATAGAGTTTCTTATTGTTTTATAGAATCTGTGATACTGCAAACATCTGCTTGTAGTCAGTCAAAGACTCCTGTGTAGGTTGAGGCTTGTCTGGATCTCTTTGAGACAAGTAGACTATTGTCTCACAACTGCTACTAATTAGGTATACGCGGGCTTTCTGGGAGCCCGCCTCTCCTCGTGTTGGTTAGATGTTTTGTGTCTTTTGGTTCAGAGATTACCTTGGTGGAGCACAAGGACAGTGTGAAACTAGGATGATTTCCCGGCCGTATGTAATTGTCTGTCTCTCAATAAATATCAGTGTATTGACAGGTGAATCCAGTTTCCCTCATTTGATGATGCGCTCAACATTGCTGCAAAGAAGTTTTAACTTCACACCCTCCTCTTCTCTCTGTACAAAAACTCGCTCGGATCGGTCATTAACCCGCATGGTTTTTCATACCACTGCTACGCTGACGACACCCAATTAATTCTGTCCTTTCCCCGCTCAGAGACCCAGGTCGTCGCACACATCTCTGCTTGTCTAGCTGACATCTCTCAGTGGATGTCTGCTCATCACCTCAAGCTCAACCTTGACAAGACTGAACCGCTTTTCCTTCCGGGAAAAGATTGTCCCACTCTTGACCTAACAATCAACATGGGCACCTCTATTGTTTCCCCGACTCAAACTGCAAGGAATCTGGGTGTGACCCTAGATAACAACCTGTCCTTCACTGCAAACATCGCTGCTACAACCCGCTGCTGCAGATACACGCTTTACAACATCAGGAGGATACGTCCCCAGCTGACCCAGAAAGCCACGCAGGTTCGGGCTCAGGCTCTCGTCATCTCACGCCTAGACTACTGCAACTCCCTCCTGGCTGGTCTACCTGCATGTGCCATCCGACCTCTGCAGCTCATCCAGAATGCAGCGGCTCGTCTGGTCTTCAACCTTCCTAAATGTTCCCACACCACGCCGCTCCTCCGCTCCCTTCACTGGCTTCCGGTAACTGCTAGAATCCACTTCAAGACACTGGTACTTGCGTACCATGCTGCGAATGGATCTGGCCCTTCCTACATCCAGGACATGGTTAAACCGTACACCCCAGCACGTGCACTCCGCTCTGCATCAGCTCGCTGCACCCGCACTGTGAGGGGGACCCAAGTTCCCATCAGCAAAACACGTGGGTTTGCTATCCTGGCTCCAAAATGGTGGAATGAGCTCCCATTGACATCAGGACAGCAGATAGCTTGCACATCTTCCGGCGCAGACTGAAAAGTCATCTCTTTCGAATCCACTTCGAGCGATAGAATTATTAACAAAGCACCTATATACTAACAAAGGGCTGGCTTATCTAAAGCCAGTTGAGTAGCACTTGACATGTTTTGGCTCTATGAAACCTGATGTACTTATATGATTCTGTTTTCTTCAAGGTTGTATCTTCTTAGTCGAATGCACTTATTGTAAGTTGCTCTGGATAAAAGCCTCAGCCAAATGCAATGTAATGTAATGTAACATGATTCATGACAACCTGTGCAGCCCATGTATTGATTCCATCCGATAGCTGCTTTAATACAAAACTAAACGTCTGCCTGCTCTCCACAATGATCAATAACAGCAAACGGATGGTCAAAGTAAGGTACAAATAAACAGAATCACACGAAGCCTGGTTAGTGTTGCCTGACTTTATAAAGTTTTTTTTTTTTAATAAGTGTGTGGTTGCGTTCTAGTCACTTTGCTTGTTACAGATTTCATTTGCCGTCGCCATAAACTGTTATTGCTCAGGTTGATCCCGCCCCTGCCCCTGCCCCCGCCTCCGCCTCCGACGTAAGCGGTTCTTGCTTCTAGACCCAAACAATTTTGGTGCTTGAAAAGCACCGGGTTTTGGAGCTTAGAGCTGGCTCCGCTGCGGTGTGAACAGGCTCTAGCTCTGAACCGGCCCAGGAACCGCGTTGGTGTGAAAGCCCCAATAGTGACGGCTGGTTCAGACTGACCCGGGACCAACTCCCCCCGAAGACATTATTGCATTACACCAGTCTGTAGTGAACTGGTTGTATCTTCAATCTCTGTAACTGCGCCGACTGACAATAAAAAAACATTGAATCTAATCTTAAGCTTTAGTTCTTCTGACTCACCACCAGGTTTCCAATGACCATCACCATCATGAAGACGATGAGACACATGGTCTGATCCGAGACCTCCATGCAGTCCCACATGGTCTCGATCCACTCCCCACACAGGACCCTGAAGATGATGAGGAAGGCGTGGAAGAAGTCCGTCATGTGCCATCGGGGGAGTACACAGTCCTTGTCTATACGGCAGACACACTCTTTGTAGTTCTTCCCAAACAGCTGCATCCCAACCACCGCGAAAATGAAGACAATGATGGCCAGGACCAGCGTCAGGTTCCCCAGAGCACCCACAGAGTTACCAATGATCTTTATCAGCATGTTCAGTGTGGGCCACGACTTAGCCAGCTTAAAGACCCGCATCTGAAGACAGGGAGACAGGGGAGAGACAGGTGAGAGACAGGGGAGAGACAGGGGTGAGAAAGGTGAGGGACAGGGGAGAGACAGGGGAGAGACAGGGGAGAGACAGGGGAGGGACAGGGGAGAGACAGGTGAGAGACAGGTGAGAGACAGGGGAGAGACAGGTGAGAGACAGGGGAGAGACAGGGGAGAGACAGGGGAGAGACAGGGGAGAGACAGGTGAGAGACAGGGGAGAGACAGGGGAGAGACAGGGGAGAGACAGGGGAGAGACAGGGGAGGGACAGGGGAGAGACAGGGGAGAGACAGGTGAGAGACAGGGCAGAGACAGGGGAGAGACAGGTGAGAGACAGGGGAGAGACAGGGGAGAGACAGGGGAGAGACAGGGGAGAGACAGCGGAGAGACAGGTGAGAGACAGGTGAGAGACAGGTGAGAGACAGGTGAGAGACAGGTGAGAGGCAGGTGAGAGACAGGGGAGAGACAGGGGAGAGACAGGTGAGAGTAGTGCAGACAGACAGACAGACAAACAGACAGACCAGTCTGAAGGAGCGCAGTACAGACAGTCCCTGGACGTTGGCCAGTCCGAGCTCCACCAGACTCATGGTGACGATGATGCTGTCAAAGATGTTCCAGCCCACCTGCAACCATGGCAACAGCTGTCAGTCATCAGTCATGTTTAAATAAACAATACATATATTTACTTTTGCCCTCCAACAGCGAGTCTGCATCGGTCCTGACTTCGGCCCAATTCCAAACCACACCCTACCCACTTCCACTCACTCCGTGGCAGACTCATGCAAAGGACTGTTTTAAAAACCAAGCAGCTTATAAACCTCAGATTTTAAACAAAAATACGTAATTAAAGATTTGTGCGGTTAAGTAGAGCAGCAGGGGAACTCTCTGTCGAGGGGAAAACCCCTGATCCCGTCAGCTGACCAATAGGAAGTCAGTCGGTTTCAAATCAGCATATCTTGGATTAAAAATAACAAAAATAAAACTTTAAAAATCTTTTATTGCATATATTTTTTGTAAACATATTTCTGTTTTAAAATCCGATGTTTATAAGCTGCTTAGTTTTAGAAAAAGTTCATGTAAATATACACAACTTTTACCGTTTTATAGACTAGACATGGTTAGGGTTAACCCTAAACCTAACCCTTGGAATTGGGCCGAGGTCTGCTGAACAACAGGAAGTCTGTTGAACAACGGGAAGTATAACCTGGAAGTAGTAGTAGGGGTCCATGGCCAGAAGCTTGAGCACCATCTCCGCCGTGAAGATCCCTGTGAATACCTGAGAGAGGACAGAAATCAGAGGTCAGAAATCAGGGGTCAGAAATCAGAGGTAAGAAATGAGAGGTCATCAGGCTGCTGGTGGCAGATGTTACTGCCCCCTGCCGGAGACAGACATATGTTACTGCCCCCTGCTGGAGACAGACAGATGTTACTTCCCCCTGCTGGAGACAGATGTTACTGCCCCCTGCTGGAGACAGACATATGTTACTTTCCCCTGCTGGAGACAGATGTTACTGCTCCCTGCTGGAGACAGACAGATGTTACTGCCCCCTGCTGGAGACAGACAGATGTTACTTCCCCCTGCTGGAGACAGACAGATGTTACTGCCCCCTGCTGGAGACACACAGATGTTACTGCCCCCTGCTGGAGACAGACAGATGTTACTGCCCCCTGCTGGAGACAGACAGATGTTACTGCCCCCTGCTGGAGACAGACAGATGTTACTGCCCCCTGCTGGACACACAGTTACTGCCCATGCAGGGAGACTGCTGATACTAAGGGACTCTTGTGTTCCACTCACCAGGTTCCCAATGCTCAGCAGCTCCTCAAACTCCTCCGTCATGGGGTAATGCTCCATGGCCATGAAGACGGTGTTGAGGACGATGCAGATGGTGATCCCAAGGTCCACAAACGGGTCCATGACGATGGTGTAGAGCCACAGCTTGAGCCACCGCCAGCAGCTACAGCAGTTCCACTTCAGGAAGACGTCGGAGAAGACGTACCAACATGGTGGACATGGCCTCTGGTCCTCAGCGAAGTCTGATACACACAGCAGGGGGTCAGAAAACACAACAGGGGGTACATTTTTACTAAACAGAAGCCTGTGTGGTGTGTGAGATGTTGTGTGACTGCAGGTCTGAGGACAGGTTCGATGTTGTGTGTCTGCAGGTCTTAGGACAGGTTCGATGTTGTGTGTCTGCAGGTCTGAGGACAGGTGAGCTGTGTGTTTATGTTTGTGTGTGTGTGTGTGTGTGTGTGTGTGTGTTTACCTTCGATGGCATTGTGTTCTTCTTCATGGTTCTTTATCTCTGATGAGTTCTTCTCTGAATCCTGTTTTTCTGAGAGCGCTGCCCTGCAGGCTGCCTGCTGTAACAAGAGGCAGGTGGAGGGTCAGGTAACAGAAAAACAGGTAACAAAGAGATAGGTACAGGTAACAGACAGGTAGACAGGTGTGTATCTCACCTCCTCCTCCCTGGTCCTCAGCAGGTCCAGGATCTGTTGGTACTCATCCTCCTTCTTCTGGTTCTCGGCCCGCGTTGCCTCGTTCTGCTCAGCGTACGCCATCGCCACCACGGCCAGGATCAGGTTTATCAGGTAGAAGGAGCCCAGGAAGATCACCACCACGAAAAACACCATGTAGGTCTTCCCTGCTGCCCTCAGGGTCTGCAGACAGATAGGTAGAGACAGACAGGCGAGAGGCAGACAGGTCAGAGACAGACTGGTAGAGACAGACAGGGAGAGAGACAGACAAGTGAGACACAGACAGGTGAGAGACAGACAGGAGAGTAGACCATGTAGGTCTTCCCTGCTGCCCTCAGGGTCTGCAGACAGACAGGTAGAGACAGACAGGTGAGACACAGACAGGTCAGAGACGGACAGGTGAGAGGCAGACAGGTGAGAGACGGACAGGTGAGAGGCAGACAGGTGAGAGACAGACAGGTAGAGACAGACAGGTGAGACACAGACAGGTGAGACAGAGACAGGTCAGAGACAGACAGGTGAGAGGCAGACAGGTCAGAGACAGAGAGGTCAGAGACAGACAGGTGAGAGACAGACAGGTGGGACACAGACAGGTCAGAGACAGACAGGTAAGAGACAGACAGTTGAGAGACAGACAGGAACATCACCACGACGAATAACACCATGTAGGTCTTTCCTGCTGCCCTCAGCCTATCAGGAGTCACTGACCAGCTGGAAGAGGTTTTCCCAGAAGTCCTGAGTCATCAGTCTGAAGAGAGACAGGAAGGCCCATCCGAACGAGTCGTAGCTGGTGTATCCATAGTTAGGGTTCCTGCCAGCCTTCAGACACACATAGCCCTCTGGACAGACCCTGAACACACCATCTACTATTATCCTTGAACACACAATCTACTATTATCTCTGAACACACCATCTGTCATTAATAATACCCCTGAACACACCATCTGTCATTAATAATACCCCTGAACACACCATCTACTATTATCCCTGAACACACCATCTGAGTTCTCAAAAATGACATTCCCAGAACAAATGACTTCACTTCAAAAAGGGGTAAATTAATCATCTTTTTTCTCAAACAATGATAAACCTGTGAGTTGGATGTAGAAAAGTCAGAATCAATAAAGATTTTTTTTTATTTAAAGTAAATTCAGATTTAACATAGTAAAAAAATGTAAATTATAGTGTCCGTCCAAAAAAAACAACATTACTTATAGTAAAAACCACCCTTGAATGATGGGATAGTGGAATAAAAGCTTTGAGATGCAAAACAAGTGACATTTGACCAGTGGCGAGCCGTCAGGGCCCTCTAGGTCCTCTGTGAGGGCCTAAGATATTCTACAAAATAATATTTAAAACCAATTTTTAATATATATTTTTTTAGTTATATTTTTCATTAGTTTTACCAAAATAACTTGATTTAATTGTATTTAAAATAACATTTCCAAAGAAATAAATCCTTCGAATCTGCCTATTCAGTTTCTGTTTGAATGTGAAGGGTTAAATGAAAGAAGCTTCTTGAGCCGTCTCTGCGAGTTACTGTGAAGACAGTAAGCTGATTGGTTGTCCTGCTGTAAATTTGAGTGATGAGTCAGTCGCGAACGAGCCGATTCTTTTGAACGGCTCTTTGGTGAGAGCCGTTCTTTTTATTGTTCAATCGTAGGTCCGCACTCACTGCCTGCCAACATCCACTCGCCTTTTAAAAAGCTTGATTTTGTTCCCCAAACGTATTCTGTGAAGACTCTGTCTGGCAGCGGGGTGTGGTTAGGGCGTCGGCTGCTGGAGTGTAGGGAGTGGCTCGGCCGGAGGCCAGACAGCTGATCGGAATCAGGTAATCAGTCACTGAATAAAAGCATGTGGTAACCTGGTTCTGGTCTGTCTTGCAGTAGGCAGGATCCTGGAAGGTCGCCAGAGGACCTGTGAAGGATCCCACACGGGCAACGTTTTGCAACCCGTGTTGTGTACTTTGTTTTGGTGCTAATAAACGCCTGTGTTCAACCCAAACCCTGCTCTTTCCGTCCCTCTTTGAACCCTGTGTGAGCGGGGAGGCTCACAGTGGCGCCTGAACAGGGACAATCATGTCGGAAGGAGAAACCCCACTGGGTCAGGCCCTCCAACGTCTCGCCAACATGCAGGAGACCACCGCGGCATTGCAGCGACAGCAGAGCAAGGCTCTGCTCGGGATCGCCTCGAGCCAGCGCGAGGACCGGGCTCTCCTACGGGAGCTGCTGCAGCGTCCGGCCGCCCGGGAGGCCGATCCCGCGACCAACCCGGCCCGACTGCCTTCGATTGCCGACGATCCGGAGGCATACCTGGACATCTTTGAGGGCACAGCGGCGGCGTGCGGGTGGCCGGAGGAGGACCACCACCACACGGCCCCAACCCCGCAGCCCCGACAATTCCCCCCCAAGCCCTACCTTACTCTCCTGTTTTTATCTCTCCCCAGGGTCCGGCCTACGCTTCTGGTCGTCCGGCACCACGGGGGGCTCCTCAGACGCCAGGGCAGGATTGCTGGCGGTGCGGGCAGCCCGGCCACTTCCGACGGGAGTGTCCTCTCCTGGAGGTCGGACAGCTGGTCCGGGTTGCGGGACCGCCAGTTGGCTCCCCCGATTTGGAAGGAACATACCGTATACCGGTATGTATACAGGGGGGTACACACAAGGCTCTGATGGACACAGGCTGTAATCAGACGATGATCCATCAGCACTTGGTTCGGCCTGGGGCATTGATTGAAGCATCGTGGGTGAAGGTGAAGTGTGTGCATGGGGATATACACCAGTACCCGGAGGTGACGCTGGAAATGTCTTATAAGTGGAAAAAGCACAGAGTCAGGGCTGGAGTTAGCACTCGCCTTACGCACCCTCTGATTTTGGGAACGAATTGGCCGGGGTTTGCTAAACTAGCGGGGGCTATGGTGGTGCGTTCACGGACGGCAGGGAAATGTGCGTTATGTGCTGTGTTTAGTGGAGAGTCGGAGGTGGCTGACAACGTCGACGGGGAAACGGACACGGAGGGGGCCGCGGAGATCCCTCTGGCCCCGCTGGTGTTTCCCGTGGAGGATTTCCCCCTCGAACAGTCAAGGGACGAGACCCTTCAGCACGCCTTCGACCAGGTGGTGAGTATTGATGGCTCCCAGCTACACCCAAAAGCAGCACTCACTCACCCACACTTTACGGTGGTTAGGGAATGCTCCGGTATTGGGACAAAATTAACATGGGATCACTCCGGTCATTGTACGTACTTCGTCTCACTGGAATATTAACGGTCAGATTGAATACAACATCGACCCAATTTCTCCGGTCAATGACGGGAGAGTTTTGAAAGTGACAAAACACTGTTTTCACACATTTAAAAACACTTAAACAATTAAACAATGTTTACCCAGGATTCAGGCACCTTCCCTGGCTTGTAAAATGTGGTGATGCGCCCTGGAGGTATCAGACTATTTAAAACATGTATACCCAGGATTTAATCACTTTTCCTGGCTTGCAAAGTGCTGTGAAGCAGCCTGTTCTCTGGGTGCAGTCTGGGTGTGCATGGAGGGTTTTAGTCCAAGTGAGGAGTGCTCAAGTGTGGGAGGATGTGTAAGGCAGAGGAGGGTAAAAAAAAAGTTAAAGTGTGAACCTCCATTAGGGCAGGTTGTGCTGTGAATAAGGCCGAATATTGATGCTGGTGTGCGGACAGTAAAGCACCACAAAATCAACCTCCTTTAAGTGTTACCAGGGCCATGAGAACATCCTCCACAGGAGGGTGGGTGGTGCTGCTGTGAATAAGGCTGAATATGGATGCTGGTGGGCGGACAGTAAAGCACCGCAAAATCCACCACCTTTAAGTTTCACCAGGGGCATGAGGTTCTGGAGGGTGTGGTTTTTCAGACTGAAAATGAGCCAAACGTGAAAACGCAGCAGCCTTTGGATGCACTTCAACCAAAACCCAGGCAGTGATATAGCGCACCATTTGTAAAGGCAAAATATCCTTTAAAGCAAGGTCAACAAATAATCTCCATCACCACTTAAAATGTATTTTTATTTACTTAACACATACAGAGGGTCAGAGGGCCCATGTATAAAAGTCACGGCTCGCCACTACATTTGACCTTTTTATTGAGGTTTAGCACAAAAAAAACGACTTCTGGGGTCATTTGGGTGCATTTTCCATATCTCTGGCCCCCCTCATTCGATTTTGATGATTGACATCTCTTTTTAACCGTTAGAGCCAATAGAATCGAGGGGAGGTTCCTAAAATCCATCTAAACATTACCCATTGGTGAATGAGTGATGCGTAGCCAGAATGCCCCGGAACCAGAAGCTGCGATTCACTCTGGTGGCTAGCATATCAGCTTATATGAAATCTCCGTTATTGACATAAAAATGGAAGGTTAGATTATCAGTAATCATTTCAAAGTGACACATTGGATTACCCATTGGATTAACCTTCAGCAGCGTTTTTATCGTTTCTATGCCATTGAACACAACTTTTGATCAGAACAACAGCTAAGGTAAGACGATGTCACGTGAATGCTCCGTAATGCTACGTGTTGTGATGTCTGTTTTCGCTTCCCCTGTCGCGAGTTCTGATCGCTATATTTCTGGAATCTATGGAATCTCAGCTTGCTAATCGATATATTGTATGTGCAGTTACGATAAGTAATAAGGGTATTTTTACCGTGAGTTCTGTGCTAAGTGCGTAGCATTTTTCCGCTCAGGGCTCATTTAGACGCTTCTTGTGAGACTTGTGTTTTGTTTTGGTAAAAATGTTCATATCGTCAGTTAGCTGAGTTTCTTCCCGTTAAGTGAGTATGGAATATTAATAGTTTAATAAATGTTAAGAAGCCCTGAGACACAGTTTCGTGAAAAAAAAACCTCTCGGGCTTAACCGGCTAATAACACCCCTGAACACACCATCTACTATTATCCCTGAACACACCATCTGTCATTATTATTGTCCTTAGTTTTCATTTGTTTGGTTTATTTTAAATAAAGGTGCCAGCTAAATGCTATGTAATGTGACGTAAGTTATTATAAATATAAGTATTAAAGCAGCGGTGTGGTCACGTACCCGGCATCGGAGCTGTTTCCACACAGCAGGGCATCCAGCTGACCCGACTGGAAGTAGTAGTTGTCTGTAAGAGAGAGAGACAGGTAGAGACAGACAGACAGATAGGTAGAGACAGACAGAACGAGGAGCTGGTTTCAGACATCATGTGACCCAGAAAGTCATGTGACTTTAAAGCATTGTCTTGCCCCTCCGATGATAAACCTGGAACATGTTGCTCAGGATCCCCTCTGGTTTTAATGCTTTGTACTATCAGTGTGTATCACGGAGTCTCTCAGGGTTCTGATTTGGTGTTATTCTGGCCAACACATACCTGCTTCCCTTTAGATATATGTGACCTGCTCTATCGAAATCAGTCGCATTGACTCGAAGACACATTTTGTGTTGTATACACTGCTGAAAAGAGGAGATTCCTAGCTTTCTAATGATATCAGGATTGTTGATGTTCTCCAAATATTAAGCGAAATATGTCACAATATATAATGACTGTCACCGAGTCATCATTTTGAGAAAAAGGCCTTCAAAGTTTCCTCTTCTCTGGAATCCATCGATCTGATTGGTTATTAGCAAATGATCAAAATACTACGGAGGGAAGATATTTTTGTTTGGATTACTGGTCTGGGGGAAGCTCGTGTGTGTGTGTGTGTGTGTGTGTGTGTGTGTGTGTGTGTGTGTGTGTGTGTGTGTGTGTGTGTGTGTGTGGTGTGTGTGTGTGTGTGTGTGTGTGTGTGTGTGTGTGTGTGTGTGTGTGTGTGTGTGTGTGTGTGTGTGTGTGTGTGTGTGTGTGTGTGTGTGTGTGTGTGTTGTTGCGTTTGTTTCCCGGGGAAAACCCTCACGAGAAACACCGGCTGTTGTTATGCCTGCTGTGACTTTAAGTTACTCCGTTCTCCGCTTGTCATTATGCCGAAGCTTCAAAGTTGTATTTATCATCTGAATTTGCCGAAAAAAGTTTCATATTCTGAAAGCCAAGACTTTGTTTATTTGAAATCAGATGAAAAGAAACTGTAACGGACCCTGCCGTGTTATCTATGATTACTCTACGCTTACATTCATAATGTCAGCCGGAGGGAGGGGGGGCGGCGCTGCGGAAGAGCAGATTGCCTGTCATCTTCCCTTTACAAGCTTAAAGAACGTATTTATCGTGTGAGTTTGGAAATAAAAGGTTCATATTCTGAAAGCGAAGCCTTTGTTTGTTTAAAATCAAACAAAACACCCAAACCCCGAAAAAAATTGTTTTTTACGCAAATCCACGTTTATTTTGAAATGAGCCGTTGCGACTTCCGACTGATTTTGATAGAGCAGGTCACATATTATAAGGAATCTGTCACAATCTGTCTGTGTTGTGTTTTGTCTTGCCTAGATCTGTCTTTGGTTTCCTGTCTGTTGTGTTTCCCTCCTTCCTGTTTTCCTGATTGTGTTCACCTGGTGCCCCTGTGTTTTCTCCTCCCTCCTCATCTGTCTCTTGTTTCTTTGATTGGTCCTGTGTGTATTTAAGTTCTGGTTTTTCTGTCTGTCTTTGTTAGATCCTTGTTTGTCTGTGACTGTGTTCACAGGGTAGTGTTCTGTTTGTCACCTAACCTTGAAATAAAGGTATTTTCTGTTCAATCTGCATTTGGGTCCTGCCTGCTTCACTCACCCTGACATAATCATTATCCCACCCCCACAGTCCCTGGTAGAACCGAGGATATATACTCTGTGCATCACTGTACAGTAAACTGCTGACTTGTAGTACTACTGCTGATGTAAAAGTATTTATACCTGGGTTGTTAATGTACTCATGGTAATCAAAGCCACTTCCTGTATTGTTGAAATTAGTGTCATTGACATCGTAACCCTGTCCGATGTCAGACGTATGGTTGATGAACTGGGGGGGGATCAGGACACACTTCTGCCGCAGGTTTCCCATGAAGAGCTGCAGACCAATCAGAGCGAAGACGCTGAGGCAGAACACCGTCAGGATCATCACGTCACCCAGCTTCTTCACCGACTGCATCAGAGCTCCCACTATGGTCTTCAGACCTGACCAATCAGAGTTAATGGTGAGTCACGCACACTGTACTAACACACACACACACACACACACACACACACACACACACACACACACACACACACACACACACACACACACACACACACACACACACACACACACACACACACACACACACACACACACACACACACCAGGGATCACAGTGATGGTCTTCAGTGCTCGGAGGACTCTGAATGTCCTCAGCACAGATACGTTTCCCAGATCCACGAACTCAGTGAGGTACCTGCGACACATGGACAAGAAGTACTCTGATGAACTTCTGGGGGTGAGTACGTGTGTGTTTAATGGTGTACTGGTATGTATTTGTACAGTGTATCACTATATCACAGTGTATCAAAGTGTATTAATGTGTATCAAAGTGTATCACCGTGTATTACTATATATCACAGTGTATTACAGAGTATCACTATATATTACAGTGTATCACAGTGTATATAATTGTATCTCTCTGTAGCATTGTGTATCACAGTGTATATAATTGTATCTCTCTGTAGCATTGTGTATCACAGTGTATATAATTGTATCTCTCTGTAGCATTGTGTATCAGTGTATATCATTGTATCGCTCTGTAGCATTGTGTATCACAGTGTATATAATTGTATCGCTCTGTAGCATTGTGTATCACAGTGTATATAATTGTATCTCTCTGTAGCATTGTGTATCACAGTGTATATAATTGTATCTCTCTGTAGCATTGTGTATCACAGTGTATATAATTGTATCTCTCTGTAGCATTGTGTATCACAGTGTATATAATTGTATCGCTCTGTAGCATTGTGTATCACAGTGTATATAATTGTATCTCTCTGTAGCATTGTGTATCACAGTGTATATCATTGTATCTCTCTGTAGCATTGTGTATCAGTGTATGTCATTGTATCTCTCTGTAGCATTGTGTATCAGTGTATATCATTGTATCTCTCTGTAGCATTGTGTATCACAGTGTATATAATTGTATCTCTCTGTAGCATTGTGTATCACAGTGTATATAATTGTATCTCTCTGTAGCATTGTGTATCACAGTGTATATCATTGTATCTCTCTGTAGCATTGTGTATCAGTGTATATCATTGTATCTCTCTGTAGCATTGTGTATCAGTGTATATCATTGTATCTCTCTGTAGCATTGTGTATCACAGTGGATATCATTGTATCTCTCTGTAGCATTGTGTATCACAGTGTATATCATTGTATCTCTCTGTAGCATTGTGTATCACAGTGGATATCATTGTATCTCTCTGTAGCATTGTGTATCACAGTGGATATCATTGTATCTCTCTGTAGCATTGTGTATCACAGTGTATATCATTGTATCTCTCTGTAGCATTGTGTATCACAGTGTATATAATTGTATCGCTCTGTAGCATTGTGTATCACAGTGTATATAATTGTATCTCTCTGTAGCATTGTGTATCAGTGTATATCATTGTATCGCTCTGTAGCATTGTGTATCACAGTGTATATCATTGTATCTCTCTGTAGCATTGTGTATCACAGTGTATATAATTGTATCGCTCTGTAGCATTGTGTATCACAGTGTATATCATTGTATCGCTCTGTAGCATTGTGTATCACAGTGTATATCATTGTATCTCTCTGTAGCATTGTGTATCAGTGTATATCATTGTATCGCTCTGTAGCATTGTGTATCACAGTGTGTATCATTGTATTGCTCTGTAGCATTGTGTATCACAGTGTATATCATTGTATCGCTCTGTAGCATTGTGTATCACAGTGTATATAATTGTATCTCTCTGTAGCATTGTGTATCAGTGTATATCATTGTATCGCTCTGTAGCATTGTGTATCACAGTGTATATCATTGTATCGCTCTGTAGCATTGTGTATCAGTGTATATCATTGTATCGCTCTGTAGCATTGTGTATCACAGTGTATATCATTGTATCGCTCTGTAGCATTGTGTATCACAGTGTATATAATTGTATCTCTCTGTAGCATTGTGTATCAGTGTATATCATTGTATCGCTCTGTAGCATTGTGTATCACAGTGTATATCATTGTATCGCTCTGTAGCATTGTGTATCAGTGTATATCATTGTATCGCTCTGTAGCATTGTGTATCACAGTGTATATCATTGTATCGCTCTGTAGCATTGTGTATCAGTGTATATCATTGTATCGCTCTGTAGCATTGTGTATCACAGTGTATATTATTGTATCGCTCTGTAGCATTGTGTATCACAGTGTATATCATTGTATCGCTCTGTAGCATTGTGTATCAGTGTATATCATTGTATTGCTCTGTAGCATTGTGTATCACAGTGTATATCATTGTATCGCTCTGTAGCATTGTGTATCACAGTGTATATTATTGTATCGCTCTGTAGCATTGTGTATCACAGTGTATATCATTGTATCGCTCTGTAGCATTGTGTATCAGTGTATATCATTGTATCGCTCTGTAGCATTGTGTATCACAGTGTATATCATTGTATCGCTCTGTAGCATTGTGTATCACAGTGTATATCATTGTATCGCTCTGTAGCATTGTGTATCACAGTGTATATCATTGTATCGCTCTGTAGCATTGTGTATCACAGTGTATATCATTGTATCGCTCTGTAGCATTGTATCGCTCTGTAGCATTGTGTATCACAGTGTATATCATTGTATCGCTCTGTAGCATTGTGTATCACAGTGTATATCATTGTATCGCTCTGTAGCATTGTGTATCACAGTGTATATCATTGTATCGCTCTGTAGCATTGTGTATATCATTGTATTGCTCTGTAGCATTGTGTATCACAGTGGATATCATTGTATCTCTCTGTAGCATTGTGTATCATTGTATCGCTCTGTAGCATTGTGTATCAGTGTATATCATTGTATCGCTCTGTAGCATTGTGTATCACAGTGTATATCATTGTATCGCTCTGTAGCATTGTGTATCACAGTGGATATCAGTGTAGTATTGTTTATTACGCCATGCTGATGACCATGAAGTCCAGCCAGTTCCACGGGTCCTTCAGGAAGGTGAATTTCCCCATACAGAAACCTCTGGAGAAGACTTTTACCGTGGCCTCAAACGTGTAAATGAATGTAAACACATATCTGTTCAACGACAGGAAACATTAACAGCATTAAACTACTGACAGAAAACTTTAAATCACAGACTCAAATGTGTTTAACATGTTATTAGTTTGTGGCAAGTGTCTATCAATGTGTTTAACATGTTATTAGGGAGGCTGTGGCGCAGTGGACTAGTGCGTTGGTGTTGGGATCACAGGTTCAAACCCCACTGCAGTCAGAATGTCGTGGTGTCCCTGAGACACTTCACCCCAAATTGCTCCTGTGGGGATTGCCCACTGTACTGAGTATGTGAGTCACTTTGGATAAAAGCTAACAACGTTTATTATTTTAGAGAGTGAGAGACACATAGAGAGTTACGGGGGTTGTTGTTAGCATTTGGTGCTAGCTCGGAGCTAACGGAGATTAGTAGCTGTTTCAACAAAGAGAGAGAGAGACACGTTGTTAGCATCTGGTGCTAGCTCGGAGCTAACGAAGATTAGAAGCTGTTTCAACAATAAGGAGAGGGAGAGCTCTCTCCTGTCGGACAGAGAGATAACATCAGCTCAGGGAGGTAAAGGACTCTGAGCGATTAGATTGTATACTTTAGTCTAAGTTATCTCAGTGGGTCTCAAAACAAATATATCCATCTATGTAATATTAGTTGTATCTAAAATAAGTTAATAAATCCTTCCAATGTGTACTATAGGTCAGTAAAAAATAAAAAAACAGTTTGAAATGGGAGTGATTAGTAAAATATGCATAAATAAAAAGAAAGAATGCAGACTAGGTCAGATAAAGACAGGAGAGGAGTTTATCAATGATGTGTTATTGGTTGTGAGCATATTATAATGGCTTTTTGATTATTGAAATATATACAGTTCTGTTTCATATGAGTGTTGAGAACAGTATCCATACATCTCTTCATTTGTGCACCGGATCGATGCATTTAGCTTCAATTGAAAGAAAACAAATCTTCCCTGGGTGCATGCCCCCGGACCCCCCTAGAGGATGTGAGGTCATCACAAATAAAACAGGTTCACATGGATAGGATACTAGATAAGTGTGCACACTCATTATATACACTACACATTTTTCTTGGATTTGTTAACACCATAGTCCCTAATATATTTGTAGAAAGGCAGGAAATGGAATTAAATTGAGATAATGTTTCATTGCGGAGGACCCCCTGTTTTGTGTCCCCTCCACGTCTCAAACCAAAGTTACACCCTTGATGTAATGTAATGTATTACATGTGTATATAGTGTGTATTAATGTATTCAACATGTAATTAGTTTGTATAAAGTGTGTATCAATGTGAATTATTTTCACTCACTCCACGATCTTGCTCCAGGCCGGAGGATTGCTCAGCGTCATGAAGGCGCAGTTGGCCAGGATGGTCACCATGATAAACAAACTGAACAGAGTGTTTGTTTTAAGGAATGAAAACATCATCAGCTTTTCTTGGTTCATTAAGAACCTGCAGAGCAAAGCTGGCCAACCAGGGAGCAAGACAGTGTGATATCACAAAGGATATGAGTGGATGAGGATCCTGATGGCGGCGATCCTCAGTCGACTGCATGGACTCAGCAGATAGCACGCCGGCTCAGCGTTAAACCGGAAGATGGTGTTACCCTTACCCAGCAGGATGAACGTCTGCAGATAGACAGACAGAGAGACAAACAGAGAGACAGACAGACAGGCAGACAGAGAGACAGACAGAGAGACAGACAGACAGACAGAGAGACAGACAGACAGACAGAGAGACAGACAGAGAGAGAGACAAACAGAGAGACAGACAGACAGAGAGACAAACAGAGAGACAGACAGACAGAGAGACAGACAGACAGACAGACAGACAGGCAGAGAGAGAGACAGACAGACAGAGAGACAAACAGATAGACAGACAGAGAGACAAACAGAGAGACAGACAGATAGACAGACAGACAGAGAGACAGGCAGAGAGACAGACAGACATACAGAGAGACAGAGACAGACAGACAGACAGACAGACAGAGAGACAGAGAGACAGGCAGAGAGACAGACAGACATACAGAGACAGAGAGACAGACAGACAGACAGGCAGAGAGAGAGACAGACAGACAGAGAGACAGACAGAGAGACAGGCAGACAGACAGACAGACAGACAGACAGACACAGTCAGAATCTCCTGATTGTCAGTGAATGCAGCGTTAACATTCAGCGATTTATTGATTTGATGAGTCCTCAAAGTATCTTCATCAAAGACTTAGAAACCTGTTCTGATTGGTAGAAGGGATCCAGCTCCTCCAATGGTGTGTTGAGGAACTCAGGGGGCGGGTCTCCATAGATGAAAGGGAGGGGCTTCCCGGCCTCCAGGTCACTGGCTGGTTTAGGAAGATCCTCCTCTGCTACCTGTCAATCAGAGAGATTAAGCACCTCGTCATCATCATCATTCACTTCTCTCTTTTAGAAATTAAATCTGTCACCACTCAAGCCCAATGGAGAATAAATAAAAACATTTACCAAAATAACCCCGGCCATATTTACCAAAAGCTGCACTCAATGCAAGGTTTAAAAAAACTAAAAACAGATTGAAATCATAAATATACAGTATATAACTTTATTATAATGAATCTGTATATAAAACTCCCTGCACCTCTATGTTCTTCTCCTTCCTCCTTTGCTGCTCCTCCTCCTTGGCTTCATGTCGTCGTTGGATTTTCTCCAGCGAGTCGGGCAGGAAGCGTCTGAAGATCTCTGAACCGACAGGGGGCAGCAGCAGCGCCATCCTGCATCATGCAGCACCGGACTCCACCGCCTGCAACCGTCAGTAACCAACTGCAACCGTCAGTAGCGGTGTGCAACCACCAGTAGCGATGTGCAACCACCAGTAGCGGTCTGCAACCGTCTGCAACTGTCACCCACCGTCTGCAACCGTCACCCACCGTCTGCAACCGCCAGTAACCGTCTGTAACTGTCTGCAAGCGTCTGCAATCGCCTCCTGCAGAAGAGACATTAACATGATGCTGAAGCATGGAGACACTACATGGTAAGAAAAACATCCACTGATTAATCTAACCTGGACCTGTATGAAGAAACTATTTAAATGTACCCAAAATATCTTAGTTATCTGACCAGATGCTAGTTATGCTGCTATAGACTGAAGACTGTCCTCTTAGTGAGGGCTGGTTCAGACTGACCTGGGACCAGCTGCTAGTTCTGCTGCTATAGACTGAAGATTGTCCTCTTAGTGAGGGCTGGTTCAGACTGACCTAGGACGAGCTCCTAGTTCTGCTGCTATAGACTGAAGATTGTCCTCTTAGTGAGGGCTGGTTCAGACTGACCTGGGACCAGCTGCTAGTTATGCTGCTATAGACTGAAGACTGTCCTCTTAGTGAGGGCTGGTTCAGACTGACCTGGGACCAGCTGCTAGTTCTGCTGCTATAGACTGAAGATTGTCCTCTTAGTGAGGACTGGTTCAGACTGACCTAGGACGAGCTCCTAGTTCTGCTGTTACAGATGAAGCACTCCAGATCAGACTCAGGTGGGTGTGTCCCAGTCAAAAGCTCAGCGGATCCCAGCGGCTGGGGGTGTTGCCAAATTGCTAGAGGGCGTTGCCCAATTTCCCCATTTGTTCAATTACAGGATTTAACCATGAGATGGCGCTTCATTCACAAAATACACAAAGACAACTGTTTGCAAAGTTTGCAGCTCTGCAGTTGTGTTTGCTGAATACTGTAGCATTTAATCACTTATTTGTTACTGTATGGTTTTCACAAACTACTATAATGAAAAAACATCAATATTTTAGATCAAATAAAGTATATAGTTTGCTTTATGCAGTATATTTCTTGTAATATTGTTGGGGTGTTTTTACACAGTACAGTAGATTGAAGTAAATCAATTTATACATTAAGATAAGATAAGATGGACCTTTATTAATCCCGTGGGGAAATTCAGTAGTTCAAACAGCAACAGGGTGAGAGTGAAAAACAGGACAGCACAGATTCACACAGATTAATACAATCAAAAATAAGATGAGTGATAAAAATAATAATAATGAGAAACTATGAAATAAGAAATGAATAAAACTAAAATATAATTATCATATCATGTATTATAATGTATTGTATTATTAAGTAATATCATACATTAACCCCATTATAGCAGATGCCACATTGAATGGATGAACACATTTATGCATCAATAATTACAACAGAGTATTTCTAAATACAAGTTGTAAAAATACTTATATGTATTTAATATTAACCCTTTGGAGTCAACCGTCACGCCGGCGTGATCAGATCACATGACCTGTGCCGCATAATAACAACAGTCCGGACAACATTGCCGTGTGTTTCTGTCGAAAGTACTGGCTTGAAACTATATCCCAGTCTTTGTTTCATGCAAAAAGACCCAGTAAACACGGAGATACGATGATATAAAGTTAATACATTTCAAAAGTATGAAAAATGGAAGCACATATTTGAATATATTCGCCGCATTTGATCATTTTACGAAACGGAAAATACTGGAAACTGTAGATCCTGCTCAACAGGATGTATATGTGTATTTCTGTCGAAAGTACTGGCTTGCAACTATATGCCAGTCTGTGTTTCATGCAAAAAGACCCAATAAACAGACACAAATAAACACGGACATACGATGATATAAAGTTAATACAGATATATTTCAGAAGTATGAATAATGGAAGCACATATTTTAATATCTTCGCCGTATTTGATAATTTTACGAAACGGAAAATACTGGAAACTGTAGATTCTGCTCAACAGGATGTATTTACCAGGGAGGGGGTGAGGTAATCAGGTAAACGGAGTGATACGAAACGAGACGAAAAGAGACAAAGAGGGACGGCGGGAACCGAAGAGAGACGGCGGGAAATGAGAGAGACGAAGATATACGAAGACAGGCGGCGGGAGACGAAGAGAGACGGCGGGAGACTGGATTGAAGCAAAGACAGACAAACATTGAGAATTTAGATATAGTTAGATAGATTTAGAGTTTTGAAGATTCAACTATGATGAAGAGAACTCTGAACGTGAGTCAAGCTTTAAGCTTGTTTTTGGACATGGAGGAGGAGGAACCTGTGATGTTGCCCTCTGTGTCGTATTGACATAAACCGCTTTGAAGCGTGGCACAGATAAAGACAGAAAAAACTGATTTTGTACATAATGTGTATATATATATATTTGTATTATATTTATAATAACACTTTTGCCTTATCAGAATGAAATCCCATGCTACCTCAATCAAACTTTCACATTATCATAGTGACATCCCATGTATATATTTCCAGCTTTTAAATGGTTTCGTTGTGTATGTTTGTGTTACATATGAAAAATAATATCATTTTCAAAATCTGTTTTTACGTTTTTTTTTTGTGATTTTGGGTCCAAAATGTTCATATAGTAGAAGATCACTGTTCTAAACAAAGTCAAAAATCCTACATCCAAACGAAATAAATATAATTAATTATGATGAATACGTTAAGTCTTGTTCATTGTTTTTCACTTTTATTAAATGTTTGATATTTCCGGTGGAAATGGTGGACTATCGGACATTCAAAATGCAGCATATTTTCACTCTTACACACATATATTCTCCTTTTACATACATACATCTTCACTCTACACACATATATTCTCCTTTTACATACATTTTCACTCTTACACACATATATTCCCCATTTACATACATACATCTTCACTCTACACACATATATTCTCCTTTTACATACATACATTTTCACTCTCACACACATATATTCTCCTTTTACATACATATTCACTCTCACACACATATATTCTCCTTTTACATACATACATTTTCACTCTACACACATATATTCTCCTTTTACATACATACATTTTCACTCTCACACACTACTCACACATTCATACATTTTGCTCTCATATTATCATATTTCAATGCACACATTCATATATTGTCACTCACACATTCATGCATGTTGTTCTCATATTCATATAATGTAATGCTCATATTTATACATTTTGCTCTCATGCGAAATGTACTAAAACAAAGTATGTCATGGTAGTGGTCAGCTGTTAAACACAAAAGTGTATCTTAAGGGCTGTAAATATAATAAGCCTGTTGTCAATTTTAGACACAGGCTTATTATATTTACAGCCCTTAATAACATTCATTTTCTGGACTCAATGTGTGTCTTGGCCGTTTTCTTTGTTCCAAGCAAACGAGTGCTTTTTGTTTTGAAATCACTTCCGTGAGTTTCGCGGGCATCCCCCCTCGCTCCACTGACCATTAGACCATTTAGTAAGGTAACAAGCAAAAGGGCAAAAACGCCTCTCAGACGCTCTTCCGTTAACTTGTTTAATAAAGAAAAACAAATGGTCCGTAGATACACGGACTCATATAGCCTATGTATGTATACTGTAAGGAGAATGTATGTGCGTGAGAGGACCAGTAGGAATTACGGCATATCAATATGCAAACACAAACCTACAGACTGGGGGATGGGAGATCACAGGAGTGGGGGGGGAGGGGGGGGGGGGGGGGGGGAGAGCTGTGGAATGTGACCCTTGGGAGAATTCCTCCACACATTCCGATGGCCAATTCGTTTTAAACAAAGAGTTCGCAACACAGGACAGCATGGGCAACATGGGGGGTGGGGGCTGGTGAACGGTCTGGTCAATGTTTGTAAACACAATCCCCAGGATGTGTCCTAATCAGGAGCCGGGTAAATGAGAGACTGAGGAGCCCCCGAAAAACAGATCCCGAAATAGCTCGTCCTGGTTTCCGCAGCAGATAGGCCTACAGTATGGTGTCTGTGTTATGTCAGTCATTTTAAATAAAACGTTGAAAACTGAACTTGAAAATGGTTTCCTCTTTTTATTTTATTTATCATTTTCGGGACGGGGAGACGTGTGTGATTAAAAATTAATTTGCAGAAATGTAAAGTGATCTAACTAAGTTCTATTCATATTCTTGACGGGAAGAGCAGTGTAAATGGGTGGCCATATGCATTTGAAAAACAATATAAATCACACAGTTATTATACAATAGGCTATAAAAGCACCATCGATAACCATTACCTTTATCCAATTCAAACTTTGGACGGGAAAAAAGGAAGGTGTACATGGTTCGGCTATACTGTAGGCCCAGGGACGGCGGGTGCTGTAGGCTATGAAGGCTAAGCCTTCCCAAATATTTGTGTGACTGCATCCTGGTAAAATAAAAATATAATGTCTTTGACATTAGCGCTGCTATGCAGCCACCTGTGCCCTGTACCACGAAGCCAGTTCAACAGACCCTGGATATGCTTGAGTTATCTTAACTATCCCTAACAAACGCGATCTCGCTAAACGGTCCTACGGCGCTGGTTATCAACTCGGTAAATCAAGCCAGGGTTTCTCTCTCCAGCTGAGAACGCGTTCACGTGAAAGGGGCGGGGTTAGCTACATTTGACCAATCACAAACAGGGACAAGTGTACTGACAGCGCAACATCATACTTCATTAATAAAAAGTAAACTAATATTAGACAAATATGAACTTTAAACATCCATGATGACTTAAACATATAATCCAGGATACAAGCCACATAGTTGCACCTGCAAGGAGAATACAGAACAACTCGTTACAAAATAAACTACCGAGTGTTTGAAAGCGTACAACAGTTTTATGATACTGCCCCATCTAAAACACGAGGGGATCTGACTTTATTACATTTGAGTTGAGTGTTTCGTCAACTTAATGTGTTGCTTAAAATAATACGTCTGCATACAGTATATGTGACAATGTAACTAAGTGTTGCACGGCCAGATACGGCTCGAGAAGCTGACTCAGATAAGGAAATATTGTGATATCGATGTGAGATCGATGATCTGATTGATGATGTGATGTCAGTGTGATATGAATGATAAGTGCGACACGTCGGCGTCTTCTCTGCATACGGCAGTTTAAACTGCATTTCCTTTTTCCTGTAATATGACTTGATAGATTTA